TAGTCACCCTATTTAATCGAGATTAATTGGGGCAATTTTCTCTTTGGCATAGATTGTCTGAAAGCACTGTTCATAAACTTATCTCAGTTCAATCCTGCCTACTCTTTCCATCTCCCTCCCGTTGTACATGCAGGGTAGAGAGCTAGGAGAAGAGCTTCAAAATGTTGACCAGGCAGCCCATGGGGAATTCTCAGCCTGTGCTGAATTCTCACCCTGTGTGATGGGTCATACAGTCGCCATGAGGCAGGGAGCTCCATGTGATCATTCATATGCAAAAGCTTATTTATTTCATTGTGCTCGCAAAGGGAGAGATTTGGTTCTACTGTATAAGCAGATACAGTTCACTTTAGGAATGGGAACTTCTCATTGAAAATTTCATGACAGTCCCACTGACTATGCCTTTAATATGACCAAACCTATTTTTGTCTGTGTGCAAAATACCTTTTCAATTCTTATTGGTGCCTTAATGGTAAAATTTAGCCATGGAAACATGTCAGGCAAAAATTTCTTATTACACGTTGGTTTAGAAATCCCCAGCGGTTGTATATGCCTATCGTATGCCTTCTGCTGAGAGCATACGAGAGTAGTTTATGTCGAGGTAGACAGTCTTGAGTACTGAACAGAAATAAGACATTGCAGCACAGGTAATTCATAACATCTTCGATGGGAAAGTTTTCTAATAAAATCAACTTACTGGGGAATAATATTGCTTTGATAAAAAGAGGCACTTGGTGATTTTCTTCGTGGATTGAAATAATTTCTTAGTTTAATTGCCTTTCAAAAATATGACTATGAAGTGCCTCATAGCTCCCAAGTACAATAAAACCAGTGCTAGTGGTAGCAGCACCTCGAGGCAAAGAAAGGACTGATTGGCGGTCAAAGAAAAGGTGACCAAACAACACAGAACTGGAACATCAGTGAAGGCTGTTTGCTCACCCTCTCATCATGACAGTTTGCGAAAACCGAAATTCTCCAAGCTGGGCAAGTTCCGTTCCACAGAACGCTGTAAAGCTAAAGAAAAAGATGGTAACAGATGTGGAAAAGTTGCTTAATGAGGTGATTCGGGACCAAACACAAAAACAAGTCCTTCTCGGGTGGGGGAAAAAGGGGGAAGCTGATATTACAGGCTCCAGTGGGAAGAGAGTGCTTTCAAAATGATGTTGGCAGCATATGTGCAAATCTGCTCGACACACTGGATGAAATGTGTGGATTGTGATAAGAGATGTAAGAGCCCCAAATAAAAGTATTTAAAAAAAAACCAACCTTCTTAGCACATTGATGATCATTGCTAAGACATATATATATATATACACATATATAATATTTCCCCCCCCTGAAGATGCTTAAAGAAAAAGCAGGACTAGATCATGATAATGTGCTTGCACAAATCGCAGAACATATTGAAAATGTTAAGTGGTTCTTTTCTGTTGTTGTTAAGTGGTTCTTGACTAATTTTTCTAATATTTAACTTTGGGTGCTAAGATATAACAAAGGTTTAAATTTAAGAGATGAAATTTGGCAACATTGGGATTTTTTTTCTCCACATCAGTCAGGCTTCTGAGTATAATTTGTCATTTTGTCTGTCAGCTTTGTTTTTCTCTCAGGGTAGACTTTTCTAACATGAACATGCCATTTGTGGAATTCAGTGATCTTACACGTCTCCTTTGTTTCCCCTGCAGGTGGAGGGCGCTATGTTCCCGGCTCTTCCTCGGGGTCTTCCAACGCATTGGCTGCTGCAGATCCTTTCACAGGTGGGGTGGAGTTTTGATCGGTCTCTCCTTCCTCATTAATTACATTGCATTTCACTGTCCATTTTGGAGACATCTCCAGTACTGATAATCCCCGAGTATATAATTCCAGGCGTGGTGGATCTGTTTTTCCTTCTAGTTTTTGCTTTTTCTGTGGAATATTTTGGTGGATTTTCTTGTGACTGTTAAATACTGCATAACTGGAACTCACTGTTTTCGTCACTGATCTTGCCTGCCAAGAGAGCAGAATAGCTCAGAGATCGCAGGAGCCATGTGGGTGTCTGATATTGTAGGGCCCTGCAGTCAAGAAGGCTGCTCAGGCATATTTTGACTTCGCATGGAAGGTGACATGCCGCACAGCTACCCAGGACCAGTTTTTCTAATCTATCATCTTTGTAAAACCCTTGACGTATCTGTGCGTCTCTTCAGAGGGAGTTTATTTATCAAGGTGCACAGGCTTCAGCATCAGTGCTACTGGAAGAAATGGTCAGTCTTGGACTTTAATGCAGTAGAGACCTCTGTATATTCAGAATAGCTTTTAATATATGGTGCTGTTGTTGGTTCTTTAGCCAGAGTTTACGGACAGTATGCCCAATGTAGGAAGACATTCACAGCCTATACATTACTCACTGGCCCTACAGCTTTAGTAGCATGAGCTACAAAACCGACAGCCTATAAAATACTGTCCCTGTCAACACACAGCCAGAGGTGAGGGTGTTGGCATTACTCTCATTATGCTTCCTTTTTCCTGTGAATGGATTGGTGACCCAGATGGTCATTCCCATTTTTATTGATAACCATTGTGATAGGATAATCACTATCGGGCTATCCCTGTCACGTCACAGGAACTTTGCAGCTGTAATGCAGGTCGAAACAGCAGGAAGCCTATGAAGAGTTGGTAGGAAGAGGACTTTCTCTTAGCATATTTAGCACCATAATATGTGAAGCTGATACCAACAGAATTCACAAATTTCATTGGCAGTTTTTTTCTGGAACAGGAAGAACACACCCAAGTTCAGCTGGCCTCTGCAAAATCAAAACTACTCCTGGAGCCGACCTACAGAGAGCAGGTCTCCCTGTTGTAGTGTCAGCACTGTGGGAGATGCAGCAATTCTGGAGACCTGAGGGGGTCTTCAGAAAGTTTGTGGGGCAGTGGAATTAAAAGAGAATGGAAATGTTCCCATGAACTGAAGGCCCCCCCCTTGTATGCAAGATAGTGTGTACTAAGCAACATAGGATGATTAGATTGAACTGTTGCTAGTTACTGAGTGGAAAAGACGTGGTTTGCGTCCATAAACTAATAGCCTTTCAAACCCCATGGCACAATTCTAACTAGACCGTCTCGGTGAGTCAGAATGGACTTGAGAACAGTGGGTTTGGAGCTTTTTTGTTTCTTCACAAAAATAAAAAACAGCACCTCCATATCTGATTTGACTTATAGAATGGATGTAGCACATCTGACAGAATGCATGGAAAACATTTAAGTACTCAATGTGTGTTAGCAACAATATGATTATTTTTTATATTGTTTCTTAATTTTACCTGTAATGCCAGGACCAGGCTATCCCAACTGGTTAAAATCAATCTTAATGATTTTGTTTTCCCTCATGTGGTTCTCAAACGTCTCGTGCATTAGAATCGTATGAGGAACTAGTTTCAATTATTTAACTCAAGGTTACCCTTGAGATTTCAATTTCCTAGATGTGTAAGTTCAGTAGATGGGTAGTACAAACATTCGCGTTCGATTACTCACAAGAGGTTGGATGTTTGCAACAACCTAGTGCACGGTGGAAGACAGGCCCGCCTTTCTGCTTCCCTGAAGTTCAATATCAGGAAAGCCCTCAGAAGCATTTCAACTCTGATATACATGGGGTTGCCATGAGTTGGAATTGCCATAAAAATAATGGGTTTGGTTTTGGTTTGACATCCTCCCTTAAAACTTTTGATTAAGTAGTCTTGCATAGGTTTGTTCAGTTTTTCTTAAAGGCTCCCTATGTGTTTCTAAAGTGGAGCTGGTTTTTAGAACCACTTGGTCTTGGATGGGCTGTGGGAATCTGTTAACAGGTGAATGATTCACTTACGTAGTCAAGGAACCACATTTAGAAAGATATTGGAGCATACCCTGCTGCTTAGTAACCGAATGCCTTAGACAAGCTACTCTGATCTCTAAAATATTGTAAATCATTATAGTGTCAAATTATTAGTGACTCATAACAGCCCTGTACAGGGTTTCTGAGACTAAATCTTTATGGGAGCTTGAGAAACAGACTTTGCTCTTAGCAGCCCATTGCCTAATCCTCAGTGCCACCAAGGCTCTTTCTGAACAAGTCCAGACCCTGCTAATTTTCTTTACACCCTCCCCATTTCTTTGTTTTACTGTTTAATGAAGCAATCAGAAATATGATCTCAAATGTGACATTATTATAGCATATCTAAGACTCTTAACCCAGACTCTTTCATTTAGCTAATAAGCCTGTGCTTTTATTTCAGAAGAATAGTGTTCACGCCAAGGTGCAGTTATAGCAATGATGAAAGACACAGCATGCCTCTAGTTTTTTAATGCTTCCTCCCCCGCACTATCATGACCCCAATTCTTACCTTACATATCCGGCTAGACCGGAGCATGTACACTGGTACACATAAGAGCTCTTGACACATGGAATTCAGGACAGATAAAACCCTCAGGACCAATAATGAGAATAGTGATACCAGGAGGGTAGGTGGAAGGTTGGGGGAGAAATGAGAACCTAATTGCAATGATTGTTGTTAAACCAACTCCCCTGCTCCCCTGGGAGGTGCATAATAGAAACATGAGTGAAGGGAGACAGCGGGTAGTGTAAAATATGAAAATAGAATTAGAGATTATCAAGGGTTCGAGGGAGGGGGAAAAAAGCTGATAAGGGCTCAAGTAGAAAGAAAATGTTTTGGAAATGATGGCAAACATGTACAAATGCGCTTGATACAATTGATGTATGGATTATTATAAGCGCTGTAACAGCCCCCAATAAAATGATTTATTAAAAGTAAAAAAAAAAAAAGTTCACATTACATTAAGAATCCCTTTAGCTTCTTTGTCTCTAGTCTACTGCTGCTTTTGCAGTGAATTAACTCCTGCAATTATAATGTATATGTGACTTCCGAATTATTTTTCAGCTAACATTTATTGCATGTCAGCATTCTAAGCATTTTTATGTATAATAATTACAGAGCATTTTTTAATGTGAAACAAGATCCATTCCAGAGTGTTCCTGCTCCTGCAAATATGTGCTTCTCTGTAGAGAAAGGAGCAGGCTGAGCTCTGCGCAGCCTGTGGTTGCCCTTGCTCACTGGGAGTGTTATTGCTTTGTAGGTGCCGGTCGTTATGTACCTGGTGCCACCAGTGTGGGCCCTTCCATGGTTGGAGTTGATCCATTTACAGGTGAGAGCTTTTCAGTTCTCTCTTCTTAGATTTTTAAAATTCATTGAAAATTTTTTCCAATGTGAAGATTTTAAGAAAATGTATACCATTTTCTTGCCTGAGATCTTTTTATAAATTAACTTTTTATAATTTATCATAAGTTTTTTATAAGTTATATCATATATAACTTTATAATTTATCATGAGATTAATTTTTATGATAAATTAAGACCAGATTTCTTGGCCTGCTTTTAGAGTTTACCCAGAATTTTCATTATAGCACCTTAACTTTATCTAGGGAGCTCCCCCCCATGCTCGTGTGATACACTGCGTTAGATTGAGTCTTGGTCAGGGTGGTTGTTTTTGTTAGGTTATGTCAAATCAGTTCTGACCTTTGTACAACCGAATGAAACACTGCCCAATCGTGGACCATCCTCACAATTGTCCTGTGTCTGAGCCCATTGTTGCAAGAATTGAAAACTGTTGGCTTGCTGTGATAAGACTGGGTTCTGATTACCAGTACAGTCTACCTAATCCAGTCACTCCTTCATTCAAAACCCACTGCCAGTGAGTTGATGCTGACTCATAGTGACTCTATATAGCAATTCTGATTTGTAAATCTTAATGGGTATATAGCCTCCTTTTCCCCCGAACAGAGTGGCTGGTGGGTTTAGCAGAGGGGTCCTCAAACTTTTTAAACGGGGCCAGTTCACTATCCCTCAGACCCGTTGGAGGGCCGGACTATAGTTAAAAAAAAACAACCTATGAACAAATTCCTATGCACACTGCACATCTCTTATTTTGAAGTAAAAAAACAAACGGGGCCTCCTATTATTTGGATTCCCTATTTCTCTTTTTAGTTTTGTCAGTTTTACTTTATATCATTCTTCCTGAGTTGATCCATTTTTCATTATGGCCATGTTTATCTCTGGAGATGTTTCCCAACTTAGAGTCTATTTTGTCTGATTTTTGTACAGTGACACCAGGTTTGTCTTGGTTGCTTACTGCTTGGGAATAGCAGGCCATGCCTCCTGGAACGCATATTAACCAAAGAAGAAAACACTGGGCACAGTTAGACATAAACAGTGGATTGTAGAAAAGCTGATTCTTAAAGTTCAAAGAAAGTAGATATTGCCAACTTGAACTGTTTATAAGTTTTTCTTTCTAAAAAACAAAACAAAAAGCAAACGGGGCAAAAACACCTAGCAGGCCGGATATATGTCCTCGGTGGGCGGCAGTTTGAGGACGCCTGGTAGCGGTTCGTAACTTGTGGGTCGTGACCCCTTTGGGGGCCGAACAACCCTTTGACAGGGGTCGCCCGATTCATAACAGTAGCAAGTTTACAGTTATGAAGTAGCAACGAAAATAAATTTATGGTAGGGGGTCACCACAACATGAGGAACTGTATGAAAGGGTCGCAGCACTAGGCAGGTTGAGAACCATTGGTTTAAACCTTCAGCCTTGTGGTTAGCAGTCCAGTACTTAATTCAACACTGCCACCAGGGCTCCTTTTATACTTGGACATGGAATATTTTGCTATCTCCTGAGCAGCTCTTTAAAAACTATTTAATATGTGACCTCCACTCTGATACATCGTATTTGTTCATTGTTGAATTTAAAAAGTTGTGTGTGTAGGACCATCCAACTTGCCCTCCTCCAACTAACAGAATACTGGTTGGCCAGGGAAAGAGTGAAACCACAGGAAGATAAAGTGGTAGGCAATTAGTTCGAAGAAGTATTCCTATGAGTCCCCCAAAGAGAGAGCCCAGTGTTCTTCAAATTTCTGGAAAGTGGTGCTGGGCTCCTTTAAAACAACACAAGGCAAAAAAGTGTGTGTGTGTGCGTGTGTGTGTGTGTGTGGCGCACACGCGCACGCATGAGCATGCTTTTTCTGGCTGTCAGTAATACGCGAAGCTACATGTGTTATGTACTTCTTGCAAATGACACATTTCTTGGTATTTATTTTCTCCGACTTGAATGATTATGTCTAAATATGTCATACAAAAGAGAATTATGCATAAATACATGTTATTGAGCGTACTTGTTGCTCTTGTCAGGTTCTATGAAGTTGATTTTCAATTCATAGAAGCAACTCGGGAAAAATGAGGACCCAACGCCGGGGGTTTAAGTGGAGAGAAAATGTTTTGAGAGTGATGTACAAATGCGCTTACACAATTGATGTGTGTATGGATTGTGATAAGAGTTGTATGAGCCCCTAATAAAATGATTTTAAAAAAATAGAAGCAACTTTATATATTGACAAATTCTCCCATAAAGTTTTCTAGGTTATAATCATTCCTATTTCATTTTATAATACTTTTTCAAGGAACTCACTGAAACTTTTTTTTTTTTTTTTTTTTACCCTGGTTTTATTTTTATTTATTTATTTATTTATTTTTTTAAATTTAATTTTTTTTTAACATTTTATTAGGGGCTCATACAACTGTTATCCCAATCCATACACACATCAATTGTGTAAAGCGTATTTGTACATCATTTCTCAAAACATTTTCTCTCCATTTAAACCCCCGACATTAGGTCCTCATTTTTCCCCTCCCTCCCCGCTCCCCCCTCCCACATGAGCCCTTGATAGTTTATAAATTGGTATTTTATCATATCTTGCCCTGTCCAACGTCTCCCTTCATCCACTTTTCGGTTGTCTGTCCCCCAGGGAGGAGGTCACACACAGTTCCATGTAATCGGTTCCCTCTTTCCTACCCATTCTCCCTTTGCCCTCCCTGTTTTGCCACTCACACCACTGGTCCTATAGGGCTCATCCATCCTGGATTCCCTGTATTTTCCTCACTGAAACTTTTTGAAACATCCACATACATTCCCTTCTAGATTACTCACTCCTGCTCCCGTTGTATATACTGTACTTTTTCTTCAGGGAACATCTCAGTGTACTGATTGTTTGACATTTCATTAACATTGCATTCTCTGCCCCACAGCTACACTCTTGGGAATATGGGAGTGCAGGGAATATGTTTGGCTTCTATCCGATCATGCCATTAAATAAATATCTTATGCTTTAAAAACAATTTGTACATTTATCTCCTTATTTGTGTCATTTTATTGTACATACTTTCTTCCTTTCCTATTCCTAATCTCAGAAGATTAAAATCATTATTCATATATATATGCGAAAAATGCTTTAACATTGAAACAAAAATGGAGTTAAGAGTACAGAGTACAGGCTGGTACTGCATATTGTCCGTTCAGGCAATATCTAACAACTTCATGTATGCCTGTGGTCCCGTAAGGTTCTAAAAGAGTTTAAAATTCCCAGTTGCAACAAGACATAGCAAATGCAAATGGTCCTGTGTCGCCTCTATACAAAATTGCGCTGTAAGACGTATAATGGGACGTGCATAACCCATACATATATCTTGGTAGTCATGTAATGTCTATGTCACTGCTTATGACTTTCTTTTATAAAGTTTACCATTTAACAGTCTGTGCTTTGACTTGTAGGCCACAGCAGCAGCCAGCCTTGTGTATCGTGTCTGTGTCATGGTATATATCTCTTGTTTAATTTTCTTTCGGAAATATCACCATGAAGTGTATCACAGGCACGTCACACTACAGTCATGACAATCTTCAGAAACAAAGAAATACTCCAAGGTGTTAAAGGATCTACTCAGATAATACCTACATGGCTAATGAAAATTGAACAGGGACCTATATCAGATATAGAGAAATTGCTGATGATGTAGATTGAGGATCAAACACAAAAGCAAATCCTTTGTACATCAGTGAACACTGTTAAAGCACAAAGCTTATTTTGAGATGCTTAAAGCAGAAGCCGGACTAGACTATTATACGGTGTTCACACAACATCCAGATCATGTAGCATCCCCTCTGTATAAAGTAAGATTTGAAGTATAGATAAATTATAAATCCGAACCAAATTATGCTTTAGTTGAAGTCGTTATTTTTTACCAAGTATTATAAAATAGTCCATTATCCAGCTTTTGTACATTACTAGGTAATGAGGCTTGGCTAGTGTAATAAGGACTTAAGAAATAAAAAAATTAAGCATTACATACTTCGGCATCTAAATTTCTAGAAGTTATTAACTTAGGGATGGTATAGAAAGAGTATGTTTATTTAGAGTATACAATATTATAATACATTTAGAGTAAGCAGTTGTAAAGGAAAATGCCAGTATGCCTGAAAGAAGATCGCATTGAACGATTCTATAATTGTTTTACATTTTGATCTTTCTAAAATGTATAACTTAGGTTGAATGGCAAAAACATTTAAAAAGTACAAAATATGATATAGAAAAACTTTGTTCTATATTTAAGCTCCTATAAAAACTAAAGTTTAAAAATAAACAAAAAACTAAAGTATTTTTTCAACCAAATACAATATATAAAATCTTGTCAATGTTGTTGAGGTTGGTTAGCTGTATTGCATTTATGAAGTAGTTCTCTATCTCAGTAATTGTAAAAACGAAGTTACAATGTTAGGAAACTCATAGTTGACTACCACCTACTCATCATCTTCTATTTTGTAAATAGGGAGTAGTGCTTACCGATCAGCTACATCTAAAACAGTGAATATTTATTTTCCAAAAAAAGAAGCTGTCACTTTTGACCAAGCAAACCCAACACAAATATTAGGTAAGTATATTTTTATGAGCTGGTTGTTGTCACACATTCCCTCAGACTGAGATTTTCTTAAGGTTCTTTCTCCTCCTAACATCCTGGGAGCTTGGTGCTTATGTGAAGAGATACTTATTTTGTATTAGATTAACAAAGGACAGAGGATGACTACGGGACTTGTTATGAAGGAGTTTGAAGAAAATTGAAAATTATTGATGAGAAAAAGGCCAGGAAAATAGGAGTCGGGGGTTTTATCCCCCCACAATGACACCTCATGTTTAGAGGCTAGCAAAGGGCAGTCCTAGGAGAATTTTGATGGAAAATATACCCCATCCATCCTACAGTTATGATCTTACCCAAGCAGCCTTCGTTTAGTTCCCTAAACTCAAAGCAATATTGAAAGGGATCTTGCTTGAGGCCCCTAGGTATGGTAAAACGGATCATTTGGATACGGTGTAAATAGAGTGCAGAATTCTTCAGGGAAGAATTAGAGAGATGGAAACATTAACCCCAGGAGTGTATAGACCTAGGTGGGAGATAAGTCAGGAAACAGCTTTGCATTTTTGTTTAATAAAGGTTTCTATAATTTTGTAGTAATACGTTTTTACTTAATGTCACATGAATGTGGCTAGAAATGGCAGTATTTCCATTTGATACGTTTTGTAAATAATTACAGATGTCCAAATGGAACTAGGTCAATAAATTAAATGTTAGAGACATTTTGAAGAACTTTTAAATAAATTTAATCTTTGTGGAGAATACACATAGTAAAACCCACGTCATTTCTGTTTCTAGACATAATGGTCAGTGATATGCTATCATATGTCAATAGTCTCATTATTTCTGTTTTAATTGTCACTTCCATTTATTGGATCTCCTTGCCTTTAAAACAGCTATTGACCATTTCATTTTTTTAAAATTCAGTACTCACATGTGACAATCTTGATTACTCTGAACTAAACGATTTCTTAGTTAAAGGTGGCTTCAGGAATAATTCAGTTCAAGATTTGAGATTCAGGGCCATACTCTAGAGGACTTTTTGTCTTAGAAGTTCCAGTAAGTCGGAGTTCCTTCAGAAATTGACATTTTCTTCCGTATTTTTTCCCTTTCTACCAGGAGTTATCTATTTCTGACCAGAACGTTGAGTAGTGCTAATGAGGCACCATCTAGTCTTTCTAGTCCCTGTATAAAGGAGGTAATAGTTCAGTGTAGACAAATGAGCCCTTTAGTCCAGTTCCTTCTTTGTATAAATAGACATTTAAATTTTGGACTAATTAATTGACAACCAAAGAGGTTGATTTTAAATTGGCCAACAATTGCTTATTCATTTTCTCCCTGGGAAAATGGGGGATTGACTTACACTTGAATGTATACGACATTCTATTGCTTTCAAACTCCTTCCAATTGGTTGCATGTAGGACATAGTTTGAAACTTTATTTAAAGCAAAACATTCAGTAACATTTATTTTACCATCTTGTTTTCAGCTTAAAATACGCCCACAACTTTGTCTTTTATCATCTTTCTTAATTGCCACGAGCAGTATTTACTCACCATAGTGTATGGTGGAGTTCGCTTTTATTTTTAAAATTTGTGTTCATATATTATCGGACCAGTTATAGATGGGTGATGCTGCAGGTGTGATTTTTGGGTTCTAGGTAAGTTGAAGGAACTTAATGGAACTGCAATTGAGGAGAAGAAGTTAACTGAGGAGGACTTGATATTTCTGGAAAAGATCCTGTCTTTAATATGTAATAATTCTTCGGAGAAACCTACAGCCCAGCAACTCCAGATTTTGTGGAAAGCTATTAATTGGCCTGAAGGTACAAAGGCTCTTTGAAATGTAACTTGAATCAAAGAAAATATAAGATGTCTTTTCATAGCTATCAATATTACTCATGTTTCTGGATTAAATAAGCATGCACCTGAGTATTTCTGATTAAAAGTTTGAAAAACTTCACAAAAAATGAGCATACATTGCTTGCACTGTAATAACAGTTTTCTGGTTGCTTGTCTTAGGAAAATCTAGAGGTAATAGAATCATCTTCCTACCTGTACCATTTTCTGTACAATTTCAGTGCATTTGTGGATTTCTTGTAAGCCACCCCCCAAATTTTGAAATCTATTAAGCCAAGACTACAGTCATTTTATCTAAGTGTTTGCTTGATTTTTAAAAAAATTTATAAGTTAATTTCAAGTGTCTTTCCCATTATTTCCACCATCTAAATTTTTTTTTTTTAAATAAGAAAGCCCCACCTTGTGGATTTTGCAGATCACTTAATGTGTTTTAGTGTCACTTAATGCTTGTGACATAATTAAGATTCCTGATTTAACACTTGGTTTTTGCATACACTTGTTCATAAATGATGCTTTCACATTATTTCCTGAAGAGGAGCATAGTAGTATCCAGTTGCCTCACTTTCAGTATTGCTAAGATTAAGTGCATTTATTCATATGTTGTCTGTCAGATCTCTCCTTTATCAAAGTTCAATCAACCTATAAACATCATATCAGCATTTAATAGCTGGAATTCTTCCAAAAGTTCCAACAGAAAAAGAACTTTCAAAAAAGTAAAAAGAAAAAGAACTTTTCTCTGTTAAACTGTTTGGTCTTGTTTTAGCATATTTGAAAACAGCCGCCACTCCATAGATTCCACAAGGATTTATCGAATACTCGTGGTGTGGCCAGACTGTTTGACAACCTGAGATTTTCCCCTACTTTTAAAGCAGCTATCCTCTTATAGCAATAAATCCAGTTTGTATAAATACAAAAGAACAATGAACACAAATATCAGAAATCTACATTTTACAAAGCAGGCCCATGGTTTTTCATATTTCCTAAATGTGAATTTTTGAATTTACTTTAATTTTGTATTACGTAACTTTAATGAATAATCATGAGTTTTCTGTTTATACATAGACATTAATGAGTTGTTTCTTTTTAATAGACATTGTCTTTCCTGCCCTTGACATTCTTCGACTGTCCATTAAACATCCCAGTGTGAACGAGCACTTCTGCAATGAAAAGGAAGGGGCCCAATTCAGCAGTCATCTTCTCCATCTTCTGAGCCCTAAAGGAAAACCAGCAAACCAGCTGCTTGCTCTCAGGACTTTTTGCAATTGTTTTGTTGGCCAGGCAGGACAAAAGCTCATGATGTCCCAGAGGGAATCATTGATGTCCCGTGCAATAGAACTGAAATCAGGGAGCAATAAGAACATCCACATTGCTCTGGCTACATTGACCCTGAACTACTCTGTCTGTTTTCATAAAGACCATAACATTGAGGGGAAAGCTCAATGCTTGTCAGTAATTAGCACAGTCTTGGAAGTTGTACAAGACCTAGAAGCCACATTTAGACTTCTTGTGGCTCTTGGGACACTTATCAGTGATGATTCCAATGCTGTACAATTAGCCAAGTCTTTAGGGGTTGATTCTCAAATAAGAAAATATGTCTCAGTTTCAGAACCAGCTAAAGTAAGTGAATGCTGTAGATTTATACTAAACTTGCTGTAGCAATGGGGTGGGGGCTAAGACTTTAAATTGTTTACTTTTATTTCTTTCTCACATTTTACATGACTGATTACTGATGGTAAAACAAAATACTGTGGATGAAGTAACATTTCAGATATTGTAAAGTGGGGGGAGAGGGGTGACAAGAGGAAAAATAAAAAAAAAAGTTTTGCACTGACGAACTGTGAGATTGTACTGTGTAGTGTGGGTAGGTTTTCACGAGTAAAGAACAAACTCTAATCAGCAGCCCAACCACTACCGTGGCATTCTGCCCTTACTTTAGCGACTCAGGAAACAAGGGCTTTTATTACTACAGCCATACCCTAAACTGTAGGCGGTTATCTTTTATTCACTTTCTGATCTTTTCACCTCTGGTCCACTGGTGCATTCTTTTAATAGCCTACTAACATTTCAAGGTCTTCTTTTAAGATACATTATTTAACATTAAAAAAATAAAAAACAAATCAAACTCGTGAATTAAACCAGATATTGAAAAAATGCATAATGATTCTTTGAAATCATTTAGAAATAGAAATTATATTTGTTTATCAGCTAATGTTTAGAGGGGGGAAAAAGCATATTACTAAGCTATGTGATATGAGTCACATGTGAATTCAGACAAGGCTCAACATTGAACCTAAAATTATGATCCAGTTTCTTTTGCTTATCATTTGGGTTAATTTTATTTTCATTCCAGTTTTAATATTTGATTACATATTTGATGATATTTGGTCATTTGCATGATTTCAAAGAGAATTCAGTAAGTACTTTTATTAAGCTGTGAGCAAGCAAGGGTATGGTATGTCAAACTTCTTTTTTTTTTTCCGGAAGCCAGAGCATGTCATGAAACAAGGGGCTCTGATGGTGTAGTGGTTACGCATTGGGCTGTGATTCACATGGTTGGTAGTTCAAAACCACCAGTGCTCCACAGGGGAAAGACTGGGCTTTCTACTCCCCTAAGCAGTTAGTTTTTGCAAATCCACAGGGGGCCACTATGAGTCAGCACTGACTCAGTGGCAGTGAGTTTGGTTTTGTTTTGTTCTGGCACTGTGTTAATAAACACTTTGTTTTCTAATCCTCCAAACTCCTTTAAATAGAAAGTGGTGGTCTATCTATTTTTAGAAGTAAAATAGAATTAATAAAGAGGAAGAGGAAAAGCAGCAGTGAGCTAAATATTCAAAGTGCAGGCCATCCTCTACTTCTTGGGTAAGGAACTACAACATCTTAAGGAATTAACACAGAGAGGGAGGTGTCTCGTTAATGCCACAACTCATTCTACAGAAGATAACCCAGTTCTCTTAGAATTCGAGCTAGTTTTCTTTTTCAAAATGACAGAGGCCTTTTAAAAAGGGTTTTCATGAAGATGAATTCCCAACATTTATAGTATTCTTTACCAAAAATTCTTGATCTCATGGCAAAATGAAGTCTCAAAGAGCAGTTCTCTAGTAGGGGAGGAAGAGCTTCTTCTAATTAATCTTCACAGTTAATTCAAGGAAAATCGGTAGGACTGTCCAGAGACCTGGTTGCTGTCGAGTCAACTCCAACTCACAGAGACCCTGTGTAGAATTTCTGAGGCTATGAGTCATCATGGGAGCAGGTAACATCTTTCTCCGTGGAGCAGCTGGTAGATGTGAACCACCAATCTTGCAGTCATCAGTCCAGCTCTTAACCAATAGCACCACCAGGGCTCCAAATGAAAAGAGAAGGACCATGATTTGTTCAGTATTAAATTACAAGTTCCTGGTGTGTGCTGCTAAGAATTTCACCGGTTCAATCTACTCCCTTACGATACATTTTTTTCCCCTTAACGTCTTCAGTGTGGCATTCAAGGGTATGTACGAACATCTGTGCAATATATTGGAATACTGAATACCTGGATAATGGTAGGGTGTGTAGCATTGGTTAAGAATGTGAGTTCACTCTTCAAAATGAAAGAAGTAGCAAATTGTGAACACTGTATGCTGCATGTTAGTATGCAAATCTTCTTGTAACAACTTTTATTATACCAATTAAATCTTTTTTTATTGAAGACTTATACAGTTTTGTAAAAGGAAATAAGCCAAACCAGAATGATAATGGTAAAAGAGTGAATTTCATGAACAAAGTATTCTTTTTCCCTTTTTTAGTTAAATATTTTTTTTCATGATTGTTTTATGTCTCTCCAAGGTATAAAAGCAATATACCCTTCCGAGTAAAAACAAAAACATCAAAAATTGTTTGTGACTCTGGGTAGTGACCCAGAGACAATCATTCGTAATGTTTTGTGACATGTCCATATGTCTGTAAGAATGTGTTTAATTAAAATAAAATAAGGATTCTGTTAGACTTTATGTTCAAACTGAACCCCGACAGTACACATACTTTGGATTATATGGATATGCTCATTTCCTGTCATTGAACTTTTCTGTTACCAAGCAAAGCTGTGACAAATCCTGGAAATCAGAGCTGTATAGTTGGTTTATTGCCTCGGCATAAAATTTATGCGTGGAATTAGTTAAGACATTAAGGTGCTGTTTTGAGACTTCGTGTGCACTGCCAAATCACTTGGAGTGTGCAGCCTAGGGAATTCCTGTCCTTGTTGCAGTAATAGTTCTCAGTTTCCTTTTAATACACTTGACTTTTTTAAAATTTCAATAACATTTGAGGGACAAAACGATTTGAAACATTGTAAAATCTGAACTATTGATATCTGCATTTGAGCTTTTAGAAAACATAGTAATTGTTTTTCTGTTAACTTGAGTTTATAATAAATGACATTTGTTTGTACCTCATAGCAATCTTAAATGATGGTAAAGGCAAAAGATAATTCTGGGCATAAAACAAGTATAATGAGTTCTTTGCAGTTATTTTATAAGGAGTTCCTAAAATGCACGTAGAGTCATGTAGGATGTGTAATCTTGCCTAGAAATCTTGAGATATATAATGTACCTTTTTGAGATCATGAAATGTTCTTCAATATGTTCTTCAAAAAAAGAATATGGTGTATTCGAGTGTATTTTTCTGTAGGAAATTATTCATGATGTTTTGAGTATAATTTTTCAAAAAAATTTTTTTACTTAGAATTTAGCAGGGGATCATTTTTTTCTGTTTCCCAAATTTTTGCAAGGATATTCATCTATTCAGAAAAGTTGATAGAGAAGTACTGTGAGCAGATACTTTTCAACTAAATTCAACCATTAATATTTTGCCATATTTATCTCTATTCATATTTTGAAATAATTTAAAAATCAGTTGTAGATATACTGACACATTAGTCAGTTCAGCACTTCAGTATATATCTTCTAAGCAAAGAAGCATTTCAAAGGACATTTTTTATTAGAAAGTCACATTAACTAATATCATAATACGCAATAGCTGTTCCATTCCCTCTTGAACCTAAGAAGACATTTTTTTACTTTTCTTTAAAAACCAGCACCTAATCATTGACGTCTATGTATTATATTCAGTTATTTGGCTATATGTCTTTTAGATCCCTTAATCTAGAAGAGTCCTAAATTTTTTTTTTTAAATAGGAGCCCTGAGGGGGCAGAAATGTGCAAGTATCAACCCAGAAGAGATTACATAGTTGCTCAAGTGCATCTTCATGCCAGAATATGAAGAGTTCTACAGTTTGCATTTATAATACCTCCCCCCATGTTATCTATTGCTCCCCAGCAAATCACCCCCAAATTTAGTTCCTTCAAACAGTACACATTTATTACTTTACAGCCTTTTCAGACTAGGAATCCAGGCACAACTTAACTGTTCCTCCTTGTTCCTCATGAGGCTCAGGCCAGACTGAGGTCTCATCTGAAAGCTTATCTGAGGAAGCTGCAAGCTCCCTTGATTGTTCATTTTCAAGCTCACCTAGATGGTTGGCCAGTTCTTTTCCCTTTGTGCACTGAGAGCCTCGGTGCCTGGCTGGCTCTTGGTTATAAGCTGCTCTTCGTTTGCCGTGTGGTCCTCTCCGACATGCTGGCTTGATAGATCAAAGCTAGTCAAAGAGAGTGTCTCCTAGCTCTGGTCTTTATAATCTGATCGTAGAAGTAGCATCCTGGCCTAATACCTCATTTCTATTGATTAGAAGCCAGGAGAATAGATTACTTGAGGATGGGAATGGGAGACCATTTTAGGACCATCGTAACAGATCTGTTTTCACAAACTGAATGTTTTTGTCCAGAGGCTTGATTAGATGGGGCTAAGCTGTTTGGGCAAGGATACTTCCTAGGTATTGTGTACTGCCATTTAGTTTTGATTGCATTGTTTCCTTAAAGTTGTTTCCCTTTTGTCAAAAAGAGGGTAGATAATAAATGGGGGATAGATGTAGAACGGCCTTCTAGTTACCATGTTGTAGAGCATAAATGTCACTTTGAGGGCAAAGGTGCACCTGACCCTAACGCATGCTGTTTTCAGTTGCCTTGTGTGTATGAGAAGCGTGCACAAGGCGGAAGGAAGACAAGGACAATTGATGCATTTGAATCAAGGTGAAAGTGATGAAAATTGAAAGTACCATGGACTGTCAGAAGACCAGAAACATCTTTCTTGGAAGGAGATAGAGTCAGAATCATCCACAGAAGCGAGGTTGGCAAGACTTTGTCTCAAATACTGTACTTTGGACCAGTCCCTGGAGAAGGGCGTCATGTTTGGTAAAGTAGGCCAGTGAGGAAGAGGAGGACCCTCAGTGGGCAGGATTGACAGAGGCTGCAAAAAATGGGCTCAGACAAGGATGGCAGGACGGCTGGTGTTTATTGCTGTTGTACATAGGATCTCTGTGTATTGGAACCAACTCAGTGGCACCTACCAGCAGCTCCTATACTCACTGCCGTCGACTCGGTGCCCACTCAGCAACCCTATAGGACAGGGTAGAATTAACTGTCCCTGTAATGCGTTTCTGAGGCTGTCATTGTTAACGGAAGTAGAAACCCTGTCTTGTCCCGCAGAGTGGCTGGTGGTTTTGAACAACTGACTTTGCGGGTTGCAGCCCAACTTGTTAGCATGTAAATACAGATTCAGGAACATTTCTCAAAACTTCCTGTGTTTTTTCCCTAGTTTTCTACATTTTTTGTTTACCTGTTTTCCTGTCGGCTTCCCAGAGTAGTAATCAAGTCTCATTTGATTAATCTTTAAAATTAAGAATACTCAAACATGCTTGTTTTCCGAGAGTACTAAAGAAGGCAGGATCTTGACTTTGAATACAAGTAACGCACAAGTGCCAATGAGAAATATAAACTCTTAACACATGGGTGATGGAAGCCTTACAGAGAATGCGAACTCAAATCCTTTCCATTTTCTGCCTAAGTGGAGGGAGTTGCTGGGGTTTTAGCATTTAAATTTGGGATTCCTGGATATATTTTAATAAATTTGAAAAAAAATCACGTGCCTTAACAGTAATAACATTTCCATGAGAATCCAAGTTACATAGCAATGGTTACCTTCTGAATTGCAGCTGGATTTTAGTCAAACATTTTTAAAAATCAATTTATTGAGGCTCATACAATTAATCACAATACATAGATCAATTGTGTAAAGCACATCTATACATTTGTTGCCCTCATTATTCCCAAAATTCGCTTTCCTCTTGGATTCCCGGAATCAGCTCATTTTCCTTTTTTCCCCTCCCCCTCCCTTCCTTCTCCCCTCTCCCCCATGTATCCTTGATAATTTATAAATTATTATTGTATCTTATATTACACTGCCCGGCATCTCCCTTCACCCACCCCTCTGCTGCCCGTCCCCCAGAGAGGAGGTTATATGGGCTCCCTGTGATCAATTCCCCCTTTCTACACCCCCCTTCCTTCCTGGTTTCGCCACTGTCACCAAGTGAAATTGCAATACAAAATGGTCAAATTGAGTAAAATTGATAACATGTTAATTACTATATGTTGGTTGTATATGGAAGCCTTGGTGGCATAGTGGTTAAAGTGCTCACTTGTTAGCCAGTCTGCAGTTCAAACCCCCTTCTTCCCTGGAGAAGATGGGACAGCCAGCTCCTGTCAGGATTGTAACCTTGAAAACCCGTGGGGCAGTTCTCTGAGTTAGAATCAACTTGGTGGCAACAGATTAGGTTTTTAAAATTCTATAAGCATAATGTGAGTTTATCTTCATCCTCGTAGAGCAGCGGTTCTCAACCTGTGGGTTGAGACCTCTTTGTGGGTCAAACCACCCTTTCATAGGGGTCGCCTGATTTCATAACAGTAGCAAAATTACAGTTATGAAGTAGCAATGAAAATAATTTTATGGTTGGGGGGGTCACCACAACACTAGCTATATGAAAGGGCCGCGGCATTAAGAAGGTTGAGAACCACTGCTGTAGAGTATAAACCCAAGCCTGTCTACCACTACCATAGAGACTAACTCATAGTGGCCCTATATAGGGCTTTTGTTTGTTTTTTAATCGTTTCATTGGGGGCTCATCCAGCTCTTATCACCATCCATCCATCTATTGTGTTAAGCACATTTGTACATATGTTGCCATCATTTTCTAAACATTTTCTTTTTATTTGAGCCCTTGGTATCAGCTCCTCACATTTTCCTCTCCTCTGTAGGGTCTTGGAAGCTTTGTAAATTTTTATGGGAACAGATTTTCATCGTTCTCTCTTCGATAGTGGGTTTCAACCACTGATACTGTGGTTCGCAGGCCACCCCTCAGTCAACAGTGCCACTGTCATGTATACACCAATGCCATCAAGTTGATTCCAACTCATAACCGTATAGGGCAGGGTAAAACTGGGTTTCCGAGATTGTAACTCTTTATGATAAGAAAGCCTTATCTTTTCCTCCCATACATCCCAGACCTCCTGCCCACCCAGAATCTGGTGGTTGGAACTATGGCTATCAACCCAACAGAGAATCCACTACTCCACCAGGGCTCCTCATAGCCCAACTTTGCCTTATCCCTATGGGGTATAAGACCGAACTTAAAGGTACTGCTAAGTAATCGTGCAGATGGAGAAATGAAAATACAAACTAAGGACATATTTGCACTACAAGCCAAGAATAACAAAACACTGGAAAAGAGTGACCATACATTATATTGGCATAATAATATGGAGAAAGATAATAGTTTTATTATGTATAACAGGGACGCTTTAAATCTGTGCTTTCAAAGGAACAAATTCAAGCTACGTTTGTTTATTTCTACATCATTTTAAAATAAGAGTATAATCTCAAGGTCAGCAATTCAAAACCACCAGTTGCTTCCTGGGAGAAAGACAAGGCTTTGTGCTCCTGTAGCTGAAAATCTCGGAAACCCGTAAGAGTAGGTCTGTCCTGCCCTGCAGGGTGGCTGTGAGTCAGAATGGACTCCCTGGCGGGGAGTTAGTTTGTTTATGCCCAGGGTTACAATCCAGTTTTGGTTGGCGTTCTCTCTTATGCTAATCAGCAGGACTAAGGTGGGCATATTCTGAATCACTACCGAGGGTGTGAACCAAGTACCACTCTTTCTTTGGGGATTTGACCTGTTGAAAGGCCACATCTTCATTCAAGCCATTCCTCTGTGTATAATAGCCATCCCAGAAGCTGAGAAGAACCACTAATGAAGCTATGTATGAAGTAGACAGACTATAGGCATGGGTACTGTAGGGCAGAGCAAAGGAGCTAGGCCAAGAGCAGAGGTCAAAGCAAGAAGACCAGGGTACAAAACACAAGGGCAGAGCTAAGAGCTGAACTAAAGCAGAGCCATGGGCTGACTTTCCCACAGAGGCAGATACTAAGGGGCCACATGACTGAGAAGCCGAGGATAGGAGAGAGACTTGGTTACTGGGTGAAGATGGGACTATGGACCAATGACTTTATCCTTAATGTTTTCTGATCCTGGTTTGTGGTAATGTGTTAACTTCCATAATAAACCTCCTTAATCGTGAATAGTGCCTGTGAGTTCTGTATGGCTATGCAAATAAATATCGGACCCTGCAGAAAGGTAATGTTGAAATAATGATTGTTAGCTGAATAGGGTAAGGAAGGATGTCATTGGAGGCATGTCTGATGTCTGTCTCATGACAACAGGAGATAGATTGTCTTTTCCCCTGGTGTAACCAGAGAAGGTCAGAGATGGCTCCCATAATGTACAGAAGAGCCCTGGAGGTGTAGCGACCTGCAATTGGGCTGCTAACCACAAGGTTAGCAGTTTGGGAACACTGCTCCACAGGAGAAAGATGAGCCCTTCTGCTGCTATAAAGATTTAGTTTCGTGAGAAAATAGAGTTGAAAAATAATGGAACTTTTTGAAGCCCCTTCATATTTCTACGGGAATGCAGCCTGAGTGATGTCAGATTACTCTTCTATGTGTTGCATAGTGAATTCATATAATAATAAATCTGAAAATGCAATCATACATTAATAAAAATTCAAAATTGTTACTAAGAACTTACGTATAGAATTTAAATTTAAATCATCGGATTATTGGGGAGCAGACTTAAACAAATGTAAGTTTTCATGGAGCTTACATTCAAGTGGAAGGCAACAAACGAAAGTGTTACAGTAGGTTGAGTAAAAAAAGTATTGCTACTAAGGTTCCAGTTCATACATGCGCAGGCTTATTCCCATCACAGCCTGTCTAGACATGCCTCTGCAATCAGTAGACTGCAGACCAGGGTTCGTAGTAATCACTCGTACTAGGCTTATTTAGCTGCCTTCAAAGAAAAGGTCTACAATAGACTGTCTTCCATGGGGATATGCATAGGGCAAGTTCAATTCAAGGCAGAGAGATCAGCTCAGAAGTTGGGAAGGCAGGGAGACTCAAGAAATCATCTTGACAGATTTTCTCCAACACAGGATGATGATAGGGGCTTATTAGGAGGCCATTTAAAGAAAATTGAAAACTGCATTGGTGAGGAAAAGCCCAGGACAGTTGTTCCAAGAAATTTTTTTCCATCATGACAATGAACCCTTGCACATTTTGAGTGTCTAAGAGCCCTGGTGGCCAAGGTTAGCGTTGGAAGGGTTAGCAGTTAGTCACTTTCTGTTCTAGAGTTACAGTCTTGGAAATTTACAGGGGCAATTCTACCCTGTATTAGAGGGTCACCATGAGTCATAGACTTGACAGTGAGTTTGGTTGAGTTAGAAAGACTTTCTTAGAAAAATTTCCAAAGGAATAATGCTTACCACATCCACCCTACAGCCTTGATCTTGCAATCCTTTAGGCTGCTTTTCCCTAAACTTAACATTTCAAAGGAACACACTTTGAGCCTTATAAGGGCATCCAAGTCACTGCCATTAAGTTGATTCCCACTTATAATGAGGCTTGCAACTCCCATAAAGATTTATAATCCCAGAAACCCAGAGGCAGTTCTACTCTGTCCTATGGGTTATGAATAGAAATTGACTCGATGGCAATATTTTTAAGGAACAACATTGCCATTGTAATGTGTAAATTGAAGCATGTAGAAGTCTGAAAACAGAAAAATTCCTTTCAGAGGTGTTTAGACTAAGATAGTATGTCAAGAAACAATAGCTTCAAATTTTAATATTTTTAATAAAGGTTTCTGTGATTCTGTAATGTCTTAGGCCCTTAAATTCTTTAACGAGTTATACAGAAGACTGGTTTACTGTGGGAGCCCTAAATCCATGTGAAGTCTACATAAATTCAGAGTGTGGCTTACTCAATATAGGCTGTGTGGAAGGTTTTTCACTTCTGGACCCTGCCTCTGGTTTGTCAACCTCCTCATACTGCCTGCCAATCTAGGAGCCATCAGCGGTCTGCCAACCTTGAATTCATTCTGCAGCTCTTGGATTTATCCAGCTCTATATCCACCAGCCTGTGGTCTTCCTTCTTGATTCCTGCTTCCGGTTCATTAGCCCTTGCAGCTACGGGAGTCAGGAGACGCCTTCAGCCTACATCTGATCCAAGGACTTGAACGCACTGGACTTAACCATGTATTCCACTTCTACAACGGCATGAGCCCTTTCTTGAAATAAATCTTTTTATTGACATACAAATGAGTCACTGGTTTTGTTTTTCTGGAGAATCCAACAGAACACAGAAACCCATCTGGTAAACTTTTCTAATCTGCAACAGTGTAGATTCCTATTATTGTCCCTTTCCTGCTTCTGTATTCTTGACTGTGACTGTGATGAATTGGTCTGTTGCTAATCATGAGTTTGTGACCATTTGCTTTGTTTTCCTGTTTTTTGTAAGCAGCCATGTGACTGACTGAATCCTTTTGAACTGAAGTTTGACTTCATGCTAATTGCCTTTCTCATATGGATGATATGTCTTGTTTAAGACCTAATAAAGGGTTCTCTTTAAAATGTATTTCACTTTGAGGTTACTGCTCCTTGGAACGGAGGACAATAAGGTCAGTTGGCATAACGAGCTCACAAAAGCAATATTCTACATCTGATTCTAGTCAGTAGTCGCTGGGGTCTTAAAAGTTTTCAAGTAGCCATCTAAGGTGCCACTATTGGCCTCTCCTCATCCAGAACAGAGTGAAGAAAATCAAACATAAATGGAGCTACTTAGCTTCAAAGGGTGATGGAAAAATTTGCAAATATACTGGTGATGGTTGCACAGTATAATACAACCTGATTGAATTATTAATCTGAAGTATGTTGAAATTGCAAATGTTTTGTTACATGTATATTTACCATAATAAAAATAAAAAAACACATACATAAAAGACTCAGTTGATAGGTGCTAGATGTTATGAGTTAATAATTACATATATTCCCAAACTTATTGCCATCTATTCACTTCTGATTCCTAGTACCCTATAGATTGGAGTACCCCTGCCCCTTAGGTTTCTGAGACTTTAAATCTTTATGGGAGCAAACAGCCTCATCTTTCTAACATGGAGTAGCTGCTTGGTCCACACTGCAGACCTTGTGATTAGATGTTGAATGCACAACCCACTATGTCACCAGGACTCCATGATTTTGTATATTAGGCATTCTTGAGTCCTAGGGGGTGGGGATGTACAATGGCTCATAGAAACCTATTTGTAAATGTATCTTGATCTTTGTTTAAGTAATCATTTGTAAATAGTTGAAAAAAAATTTAAACGAGGAAATGGGCAGGGGGAAAATAAGCAATTATTCTGAAAGACTAACCGGCCACGTGAACGTCAACCTGAGGACAGACCTACAGGCTGCCTAACACTGCTGATAGCTCTGAAAGGGATCACGATGAAGGTTCCTGGATAGAGTAGAAGAGAATGTGAAACAGAACTTAAAATCATTAAAAGTATCAGGCCTGCTGATGGGATGGAGACTACTGGAACCCCTAGAATATAGTCACCCATCAAGCCTGGAACTGAACTCACTCCCTGTCTCAAATTGTAGCCTAGCCATACACAGGTCTATAAGATGAAAACCAAACCCTAAACCTATCAAAAGAGCAGCATTTGTCCAGGATACGGCTCAGAAGGCAGGGGACGATAGAACAAACGGAAACCGTCAACATGGGGAGGAAAGGGCAAGAGTGCTGTTACGTTGTGGAGATTAATGCCAAGAAACAACGTTTGCACGAATAGTTGAATGGAAAGCCAATTTGCTCTGTATGCTTTTAATAAATCACAATAAAACGTTTTTGTTTTCGTTTCTTCAAACTGCAAATAAAACTTGACCAGATTTAAAGCGGGACACCATTGACGGGGTGGGGCGGGGGTGGTGGTGGTGTTCTTGATTAAAATTTTGGTCTATATGGACCAAATAGACCGTTCCCTAGCTTGTCGTGCATTCTTTCAAAAAATCGGGACTTTTTTAAAGCGCCAAAAATCGGGGCTGTCCCGCTAAAAGAGGGACGTCTGGTCAAAAGTGCCTTTAGAAACGACATGGGGAAATAAGAGTTTGGTGGGGAAAAATGAGACTCACAAGACTTAAAATGTTTTAAAATATTTTGTTCAGATTTTCATGAGTCGAACTTAGTTTCCCCTAAATTATCTTCGTCGTTATAACTTTTAGCGTCATAAAAACTAAGATGAGAGGCAGAAACTACATCTTTACGTTAGTCCGCAGTTGCTTGTCACCATTCACTAAGGCAAAGAGCTGTTTTAAAGCTCCCCCTTTCCTCCTTTACGGCGGCAATAATTAAAAAAAAATTTTTTTAAAGAAAAAATTAAAAGACCAGGGAAGCCATCCCGCCAGCGGGTTCCGACCGCAGCAAGCTCAAGGCGCCTCTGTGAGGTGCCTCCGGGAGGAAAAGCGACCGGCTCGAACCAATCGCGATTGCGCCTCAGGACGATGTGCGACGAGACCGGAAGTGACGTAGGAAGCTGCGCCGCCTGCGTCCGCGGCCTGACGTCTCGGCTCTGGGGCTTCTTCGGTCGTTGCAGAGATAGCCGGCTCTCACTACACGGTGGCTGCTGGGAGATCATGACGGGGAAGAAGTCTTCCCGGGAGAAGCGGCGCAAGCGAAGCAGCCAGGAAGCCACCCCGGCCGCCGCAGCGCCGGACCCGGTGCCCACCCTGGCCAGCAGCGGCAGCGGCAGCACCAGCGGCTGCGGCAGCACCAGCGGCTGCGGGAGCGTCACCTGCTGTGGGAACACCAGTGTCAGTGGCAGTGTCACCGGCGGTGGGAGCATCGGCAGCTGCTGGGGTGGGAGCAGCGTGGAGCGCTGCGAGCGGCGGAAGCGAAGGAGCACTGACTCGTCGTCCAGCGTCTCGGGGTCCCTGCAGCAGGTGCGTGCGGCTGCCGAGCCGCTTCCCAGGGCTGCTGCTTGGTCCCTGAGGGCCGCCGAGCGCTACTCGCTGTTCGCGTTATCAGGCTAGGGTTCCACCTGGGCTGAGGTGCGCCTTCCCCAATCCCGAAACGTTTGCTTTGAAGTACCAGCTTCTGACTGGCTAACTTCTTTCAACTTTTGACCCCTCCCATCCCTGGTTTCTTCCCTCTGCCTGAAAATCAGGAGGCGGGAGCTATGCATCAATTTCCCTTGGAGCTAGGCATCAATGCCCTGGTGAGCCAGACACGTGACTTCTCATTTTAGCTTTACTTTTTAATTTGTTGTTGTCGGGTGCTGTCGACTGGCTTCCGCGTAGCAACCCTGTGTACCACAGAATGAAACACTGCCCGGTCCTGCGCCGTCCTCACAATTGCTCTTAGGCTTGAGCTCATTGTTTGCAGCCACCGTGCCAATCCATCTTGCCGAGGGCCTCCTTTTTTTTGTTTCCCCTCCACTTTTCTAAGCATTGTGCCCTTCTCCAGGGACCGATCTCTCTAGACAACATGTCCAAAGTAGGTGAGGCAAGTTCTCACCATCTGTGCCCCTAATTAGCATTCTGGCTGTACTTCTTCAAAGACAGATCTGTTTGTTCTTTTGGCAGTCCGTGGTACTTTTTGTATTCTTTTTTCATTGGCCTTTAAGTAGATGTGGTTAACTCTACATCATAGATAAAAAAATTGTGGGCAGGACATGTACCCAAGATAGCAATTAATAGCGTGTAGATTTCAGCCCAGATATCTGACTTTGTCAGAATCATGTTTTTTATTGTCCATCGACCTGGCAAAATAATGTGTTCTTTAACCCTTTAAAAATAGTATCATAAAACAAGTACACGAATACATGCTTGAACAAAATTCATACAGCAAAGAAATAAAGAGAGACTCTTGAAAATCGTTCTTTGTGCTTCCCTTGATTCAACCCCAGAATCAAAGCCCAATGCCATGGAGTTGATTCGGACGTACAGTGAACTGTTTTTGGGCTGTATATCTTAATAGGAGCAGGCAGTCTTGTCTTTCTCCAGCAAGTCAGCTGGTGGGCTTAAACAGCTCACCTTGCAGTTAGCAGCTAAACCAGTTCACCGCCAGGACTCCACAGTTTGACACAAAACCCTTCGCGTTTTCTTACCCTCTGTGTGCACTCAATAAATTCTTACTCTTATGCTTTATTGGGATTCCACTCCCCAAATTGAATTGGAGAATATCACCAGGTCATTGGGATGAGGGTCTTTCTAGACCTAGCCCTTATTTTTTAGTGAGAGGGATATTTAGGCTTCCAGTATTTTGCTACCACAGTGGACATTAGCTTTAGCTTTAATTAGGTCTCAGGAACATTTGAGCAAAGAGAATGCTGACTTGTCTTTTGGCCCCTATGAGTCAGAATTGACTTGATGGCAGCGAATTAAGTTTTGTTGTTTTTTGCATTGGCTGGGCTTTTAGTGTAGTGTTGGACAATAACAGTGATAGTAGGCCTACCTCTCCCATTCTTTCGTGGGGTCATTTCTAATATCCCATTAGAAATATTTTCCATAGGCTTATGAAAGATGATGTCTGTCCCTCAAAAACCAAGTTCATGGCTGGCTAGTTGATTCTGGCTCAAAAGACCGACAGGAGAGAGTAGAAATGCCCTATAGGGTTTCCAAGACTGACATACCTCTTCCCCAGCTTGCTAACCTTGTGGTTTGTCTCCCCAAATGCTTAACACAGTGTGTCACCAGGGTTCCATCTTGGATCATATTATGGAGATTGTCTTTAATTCCTCGTTCTCTGAGTGTTGTAGAGTTTTCTACAAATCAGATACCTTTCTGGCATTCAGATAGCATAATTTTTCTTCTTCAACTGTATGAAATGATTTTATTCATATCTTTTATTTTTATTCATTATTTTATTCATAAATTAATTGAGCTGCATGTACTTAAAGTATGGGGCAATAAACCCTATTTGGTTTGTTGGTTGGTTCTCATCTGGAATTCATAAGATAATTTACTTTTGTGTTAATAAGTTAAATGGTCTTAGGGCATTTCATAGGGCTGGTAAGCACCAGGTCCTTGGTTCAAATCCACTAACCCCTTCTCAGGAGAAAGATGATGCTTTCTACTCTGGTAAAGAGTTACAGTGTTGGAAACTCATGGGCTTTTAAAAAGAGTTACAGTCATGGAAACCTACCCGTGGAGAAGTTCTACTCTGTCCTAGAGGGTCATGATGAGTCAGGATTAAATGACCAGTGAGTTTGGTTTGGTTTTTGGTCCGATTTCCATACAAGTTAACTCCTTCCAGCTATCCATGCAAATACTTCCCCCCATGTATATTGATTTGTATCCTGTAGCTTTGCTGAACGTTTTTTAGTTTAATAGTTCTTTTAGTTGAGCACTTGGGATTTCGTATATATACTATTATATTTGGAAATACAGATCTTTTTACTTCCTTCACCCCAATTGGAATGCCTTCTCTTTTCTTGTCCAATTGCCAATATTGTTGGGTGCCTTTGAGTTGATTCAAACTCATAGAGGCCCCACATGACAGAACACAATGCCCCGTAGTTTTCTTGGTTGTAGAAAGCAGATTGGAAAGACCTTAGATTTGTTGTGGGGAGTCCGGGTAAGTAAGTTATTGAAACAGTTTAGGCAAAAGATGATAATAGCTTAAACCTGTAAAAGTAGCTTTGGAGAAACTGGTTATATTTGAGAGAAGAGAGACAAGTGCCCCCAAATGTATTGATTAACAAATTACTTGGCTGCTTTTGGAATGTTTATATTGTGTGTAACAGATTTAGAAACCAAGTAGCCCCTGGCAAGCAGCATTGCTTGATTGTAGCAGTTGTGATTTGTTATAGTTTTGCTGTCCTTTTCTATTTATATGTCTTTAGGTAGAACGTAGCTTCATTCTTGCATATACAACATAGCTTCAAAAAATCCATGGGAAAATGGAATAGAAAGATAATGAAACTTTTCTGCAAGTTTTTTGTAGCCCCTTTGCATGGAAGACTTAGGTGTGAATGACCAACTCGAAGAATACTTGAATTCTTCAAAAGTGTACAATTGTATTCAGTATTGAGTATATGTTCATGTTTATGTCCTAATATATTATCAAGTTGCTGATTTAACTGCAGCATGAAGAGTAAGATCAGAGAATACTGTACGGTTAGTTAACCTGTGGTTTTCAGATCTGTTCAAAGCAAGAATTTGGAAATGTTTAATGAAGAATAATTTATTATGTAGCATCCTATGCATATTTTATACATTTTGAATAGTATTTAATATTTCATTTTCTCTCTCAATTTTAGGAAACCAAATATCTTTTTCCATCTTTGGAAAAAGAATTACTGTTAGCAGAACACAGTGACATTGAAGAAGGTGGACTAGACCTGACTGTGTCTTTAAAACCAGTTAGCTTCTACATATCAGACAAAAAAGAAATGCTTCAGCAGTGCTTCTGTATCATAGGGGAGAAGAAGTTACAGAAGATGCTTCCTGATGTGTTAAAGGTACTTCCTTGTACACAATATCAGACAATATGCATATATGCGAATACAGCTTTTATCATAGTGGTCACCTTACATATGCAATTTATACTTGAGTGTTTTCAATTAGAACAAGTTACATGAAAAGACATAAAAAGGGATTTTGTGAATCATAAATTGCCTTATGTATTTAAATATTTGTCAAGAAAAAGATGAGGCCTTTTACTATGAAGGCAGGAATTTTATTGAAAAGAAATAATTCTGTTAACTGAAACTCACTGCATTTTTTACTCAGCAACCCAATAGGACAGAGTAGAACTGTCCATTTGGGTTTTCAAGATTATAAATCTTTGTAGGAGCAAACAGCCTCCTTTTTCCCCCATAGAGAGTCTGGTGGGTTTGAATTGCTAACCTTATAGTTAGCCCAATACGTAACCCACTGTGCCACCAGAGTTCCTTAATACAGGAGCTAGCGATTAAATTGAAGGAATAATGAATCGTTTGGTGCTTTAAAAAAATAATATAATAGACTGCTATGTAACTACACAATGATTGTTAGGTAATGTATTTCATCGAATTCACAAGTGTTTCCATGTACTTGTGAAAATTATCACGGGAAGAACATAGCATTATTCTGGTTTTATAGTTGTGGAAAAAGAGCTTGGAAAAGGTAAACCATGTTCATATATCTGGAAAGTATAGAGCCAGGACTTGAATGTTTAATCCTTTAGAGAATTGCCTGAAGTGAAATTAAGACTCTCTAGCCACTTGATTTATTCTTTAGTTTGTTCTCTCATGATAAAAAAGCTTTTATATCTTCCCACCAATTTTTAAATAAAATGTTCACATGTTAAACTGGCTCTTTTCTTATTTCATTATACAAAAAGATATCTGTGAATCTACTTGAGACTTACAATTTGTTCTCTTATGAGATTTTGTTAACTGGATTTTTTAACATGCTTTCTAGTTTATGGTGGAATTCTATTACATAACATGCATTTTTTTTTAATATCCTTTCCTTAGAACTGTTCAATAGAAGAAATTAAAAAACTATGCCAGGAACAGCTAGAGCTCCTATCTGAAAAAAAGATCTTGAAGATTCTTGAGGGTAAGAATACATATCTATATATTCTAGTACATGTCTTCGATGTAACTTCTAAGGTATTCCTTTCTTATTTTGGGTATTAACATCTTATTTATAGGTAGCATTGAAGAGTTTTTTAGCTCTCTGTGTGTTGAGATTTGTGATTACATGTCAGAATAACATTTCATCGTTTGCTGACGTAGAGTTTTTCGAAATCAAGTGTATGTAGGTAAGTGTGTAAGGTTGTACATCGTAAAATGAAATAGAAAAGGTTTATTCAAACTGCTATACATAGTTAAAAAGACCAAACTTTCTCCTAAAATAAACTTTTACTTGCTGCTGTGTCTTCATAGCTTAATCGCCTTTTGCATATCTCTGCACTACTCAGACCTTTTTCACAGATAAAGGAATCCCTTAGACTTTGCCAACATTCCTGTGTGCCTAAGTGACTCCTCTTTGTGTGATACTTTTTATTATCTCTAGAATTTTGGATTTACAAGCTCCCCCGCCCCCCAAAGTTTTATTGGCACATAATTTACATATCATTCAAGCTTTTTCCTCTTGAACATTGGAGTGATATTTGTATTAGTTATATAAGAGCAGGAACAAAAGTAGATACCTTCAGTTTCTAGAAATAATTTTTAATTTTGCTTTTCCATGAACTTTTTGAAGTCCCCTCATGTAAACATTTAAAAAGTGTAACCTTTCAAAACTATAAAGTTCCTTATTCTGCAGCACTTTTAAAGTTGACATTTTTGTCTGATTGAATCATGTTGATGTTTTTTTTATAAGCATGTTTTATATAGTTTATTTCGTTTATAAGGTGACAATGGTATGGATTCTGATATGGAAGAAGAGGCAGATGATGGCTCTAAGATGGGATCTGATTTAGTCAGTCAGTAAGTTAAAAAAAAACACTTTCATTTTGATTTCATACCTCACGCATGTGATAGTTTTGTGTGTTTTATTTCTAGAAAATAATTCTACAGTGTAGAAGAATTGATTTGATGTAATGATCGAAAGCCTTATACTGATTGCTCATTTTGGTGTCTGAAAATAGAGTTAATCGCTTTCAGCATGAATGTGGTTTTCTCCAACAATTATACATAAGACAACACAGATGTCAACCTAAAGGAGATTCAAATCTCTCCTTAGAATTTGGATATATACTTCGTAATACCTAGCATTTATCCAGCATGTACTATGTACCAGGTTCTATGTTAACAGCACTGGTGATTTTATATTATTGAATTCTTCCGCATATCTAATACTATTCAATTATAGTAGACTCATTTCACAGATGACTTGGTAAAATGGTTCATTTTATATATGTACTCAACTGAAAAAAACAAAAAGCAAACTCACTGCTATTGAGTCAATTCTGACTCGTGGGGATCATATAGGACAAGTTAGAACTGCCCCTGAGGGTTTCCAAGACTGTAACTCTTTACAGGAGTAGAAGACTTCATCTCTCTCCCGAGGATTGACTGGTGCTTATGAAGTACCGATGTTGTAGATCACAGCCAACTCAACCACTAGGCCACCAGCATTCCCTGAAGTTCGTAACAGCTGCTGACGAAGCTGCTGAGCCCAGAGCACAGACCTGTGCCTGGTTTCCACTGATGACACAGTGGGGGGCTGTGGGGAGGGCACCTGATGACAACAGTCCTTTTTAGCGTCTGCTCTCTTCTCAGTAGGGTGCAACTACCCCTCTTGCCCAAATCACTCCCCGAAGGTTACTGGGTGTAGTTAATTGGAGACTTACTGTCCGTGTCTGATTTGCAGGTACTTTCACCGTTCAACTTCTCTTTGGTGCAAAACCTAACTACACATACATATAATTTGATTAGTGGGATGCTAAAAAGTACCTACAGTTCTGAAACAAATTCATCAAAAAAGAAGCATGCTTATGTTTTAAAATAAATTTTTCTACCGTGATAGCATGGCCAAGGGGTCAAAGGTGCTAGATTATAATGTTTTCTGCTTTACCACTGCTCATCAAACTCACTCTCAAGAATTTTAGCCTCTATAGATAACTTTTGCCTGGAAAAGCAGTTTCTTTGGTGATTGCCAAAGACTGATTTTTATCTCATTTTGCAAAGCTTAGAATAAGAAAAGTTTTATACCACAAGTACACAATTAAGTCATTAGAGGCAGTGGAATAACTAAATAGTATATATTTAACTTAAAATCTTGAGTACTTTTTCCATTTCTAATAGTGCTATTGAGTAGGTCTCACTGAAGAGGGAGAATTTTACTTTATGTTACAACTCTTTAATTTTTAAATCATTTTATTGGGGGCGCATACAACTCTTATCACACTCCATCCATCCATTGTGTCAAGCACATTTGTTGCCATCATCATTCTCAAAACATTTTCTTTCTACTTGAGCCCTTGGTATCAGCTCCTCATTTTTCCCTCTCTTGCCCCACTCCTCCCTCATAAACTCTTGATAATTTATAAATTATTGTTATTTTGTCATGTCTTACACTGTCTGACATCTCCCTTTACCCACTCTTCTGTTGTCTGTCCCCCAGGGAGGGGATTATATGTAGATCCTTCTAATCAGTTCCCCCTTTCTACCCCACCTTCCGTCCACCCTACCAGTATTGCCACTCTCTACACTGGTCCTGAGGGGATCATCTGTCCTGATTCATGTTACAGCTTTAAAGAGCACCAAAATTATTTATTTGTAGCAAAGCTTTTGGAAACTCACCATATTGCTTGGCTTTCTCATTATCAACAGACTGACTGTTTTTAGATCATCTCATACAGTGATGCCTCCTCAGTTGTCGAACTCAGTTTGTTCCAAAGTTGTATTCAAATACCCAAACTTACTGACAGCATCAGAAAGTGGATTCTTTCTGAGTGAACAAAAAATTAGTTGTGTATTTCCTTGTGCTACAGAATAAATTCTGGCCTGAATATTTGTTGTGCAAAGTCTATAAAATGAGACTAAGGGAGATGACATGGAGGTCAAGAAAGGTGACCTTACAGCCATTATGTCAGTGTGTCAGCTTCTTATCGCCTTATAGATAGGTCTTTACCTTCTCATCTTAATTTTAATGAACAAAAATCACTTTAATAACGTAGAAAAAGGGATGTGTGGTATTGAACATCCATGAAAGTTGTGATCGTTTCTTTCAGAGCCCCCTCTTTGTCTTAAGTAGTCGTCTCTACTTGATCTCTGGGTTCCATTACCCGTTGCAATGGCTACACAGAACTCACAGACACATTTCAAGAGGAAAGGGTTTATTAAGCACACTAATAACTTGTAGTGCCAGTGAGAAATGCTCAGGGATGAGGTGTTTATCAGGACATATCACACAGTTCTGTCAAGTCTGCTAAGAAATGCCCAAAGAGCATACTGTTCTGCTATAAGCTTCAACCCAAAGGCCGTCTGCTCCATTTCTTTGGGTTAGCCAATCCAGCCTCCCCAATTAAGTGTCCAGAGGCAACCCACCCCACAAGCCAGCCTCCTGCAAAAAAGCACTCATCTTTACTTGTTCCATGAGTGGGGGAGTCCATCACTCTGGCTCTGGCTCTGGCTCCTGGTTCCCTGCTCTGGCTCCTGGTTCTGCTGCTGATGCTCTGATGGTATAGCTGTCTTCTGGATCCAGGAGGTTGACTGCGCAGGGACCTCAGATCCCAAGAATGTGCTCCACTGCTGCCTCTTGCTGGTAATGAAATCTCTCTACTGGACCTATCCAGAGCAAGGTCATTTAAGAGACTTTGCCTAGAAGAGCCACATGAAATAATTCACTGCCCTGCACCACCTTTCCCCCTTCATTAAAGTTTTTATCAAACGAGATATCCCATTGGTAGAAAGATCTCAAAAGATGCCACATGTGGCATTATGCAATATAAGAGGGGTGTGCATGTGTGGTATATAGAGCATCTACTCTATTAACTGTTCCTGGGTAGTTTAAGGAGGCAGCCAGTGAGTGCTTTAACTGTTTGCATCACTTAGGAACTCCCTATGTATTTTAGTTTCATTTATTCCAGTAAAGATTTGAATGTGCAGAAGTACTTTACACTAATGAAGCTATATTCTGAAATTACCTTTACACTTTTATCTCCCCTCACATTGTCATCTTTTTTTTTTCTATTGCCCTTTGATGATGATATTATTTTTTAATCAATTTATTGGGGCTCATACAATTCATCACAATACATAGATCAATTGTATAAAACACATCTATACATTTGTTGCCCTCATTATTCCCAAAATTTGCTTGCCTCTTGGGTTCCCGGAATCAGCTCATTTTCCTTTTTTTCCCCCTCCCCTT